CAAATGTTCTTACAGAAACTTGAGAAAAAGTGAAAAAAAAAACAAGTTCAAACAGAATGCCTCAAATGACGAAATGATATTCCTCACTTGGATGCCCCCAAGTTGTTGAAGTCGATCCAGTTGTGGTTACGCATCTTCTGTACGACTCTTTTGAATGCGTAACAGTTCTCAATTGTGTGTCCTGGGACACCGCCGTGATATTCACAATGTACATTCTCATCATACCACTTGGGGTATGGGGGATTTATGGGTTCCACCGGGTATGGTGACACTACATGGGTGTCAAGAAGTTGCTGGTAAAGCTCTTTGTAGGTCATGGGAATAGGGTCGAAATGTTCCCTTTCCCTCCTGGAATCTTGTTTAGAAGTACCTGACGGTACAGCTGCAGTTGATTTTGGGCTGGAGATTGTAACACCTTTGTTGAAGTGTTTGATGTTGTTAACCTCTCCATCTCTCTCCCTCATAGGAGGCTTCTTACTGGCTTCCCTATCCTTAATCTTGCCTTGCTTTATGGCCGACTCAATCATTTCTCCGGCCATAACCAAGTCTGAAAAGCTTCCTGATGTGATCGCCACCAGGTGCCCGAAGTATGGAGCCTTCAGGGTCTGCACGAAAAGTTTCCGGGTTTCCTTTTCATCTAACAGTGGATGAACTTGCACAGCTAAGTCCCTCCATTTTTGTGCGTACTGCATGAAACTCTCGTTATGCTTCTTTTCCATGTTTTGTAGCATAACTCGATCTGGCCTTATGTCATTGTTATGCTTGTATTGTTCCAGAAATGACTTGGCCAGGTCCTTCCAGGTCTTGATATTTGATCGGCTGAGCTGGTTGTACCACCGAATGGCTGAGCCCGACAGACTATCCTGAAAACAGTGGATCAGGAGTTGGTCGTTTCCTCCATATCCTGTCATCTTTCGGCAAAACATGGTGATGTGAGCGGATGGGCAACTGTTCCCGTCAAACTTCTCAAACTCCGGGGACTTAAATTTCGGGGGAAAAACCAAGTCCGGGACTAGACTAAGTTCCGCTGCATCGATTTCATGGTAGTCACGGTCTCCTTTGACTATATTCATTTGGTCCTCCAATTGTTTGATTTTTTTCTCCATCTTCCTCGCTTTTTCCTCTTCGTCCAAATCCGGTACATGGTAATAACCCGGATTGTTCTTAGGGTTAAATACAGAGGACGAGGGCTTTGCTTTTGCAGCAGATGAGTCCCCTCGAAGTTCTGGTAAGATTTCAGGTGAGATAACCACTTGTGGGGTAGGTTGTATAGTTACCCCTTCCGATGAACCTGCCCCAGGCGCACTGGTCTGTTGTAGGCCAACTAACTTGGCAACGATCTGATCAACCAAGGACTCTTGGTTCTTTGTGATTGTTTCTAGAGTATTTCGACTATTTTGGTCTATCTTATCTTCTAGCTCTTTCTGTAGTTTCAACATATTCTCTTCGATTTGTGTAATTCTGGCTTCCATCCTCTTCTTCTTCAAACGAGTGTTATGTGGATGGGGTGTGTCCAACGCTTGAGGCGGTGTATCCAGTATTTTCTCCTTTTGATGAGACATGTATATGTTAGTTAATGTGAATGCAAAGAAAAATGACAAAATGCAACATATGTCTAGATGCATAATGCATGCAATGTTCGAGGCATTGATCCAAAAAATGTGTCTGTTACTAGAAATAATCCTTATTGGGGACAAAAGTGTTTTATCTTTTAAGAGATAAAAAATATTCTGACAGCTTCTAACATGTTGACTAGTCTTCTGCCTTCATCCGTCATCAGTTGAATAACCTGTCGAACCGCTCTGGCTTCTCTGGATGAACAGTGCAAATGACGAGTTGTTTGCCCTAAAAAAAAGTCTTAAAGGACTGCACCTTCGGCATTTATCTTTCGTTGAGCTTGTTCCCAACGAATACGTCATTGGAGCCCTTAATTGATAGGAACTACGTTAAGTCCATTTGTCTGTTTCTTGAATTCGTCAGTAATGGTCTCCCATTTCAGTTATCATTTTGCCATTGTCGTCTTTGAAGTGACTCCTAAGATCAGTGGTCTTCATCTTGCCCCTGTAACTTCTACCAGTCAGTTCTTCAAAGATAGACTTTCATTGTGCTTGATGTAGACCCGGTTCATTGAGTCATTTATAATCCAGTATAGTGATATACTCTTCAATCGCGGGCACCACGTCTTCTGGATTAAATGTGACACATAGTCTCCTTGTAGACTGTCCTCTGCATTTTCATCTCTTGTATTACAACCCCTTTGTCCATTAATGCAGATTATTCATGTTTAGCAACACGTTTTTAGTGGATCAACACCTCTTTTAAATGATGCAAGGGATGAAAATAAAGTGAAAGAGAAAAAAAAAGTTAGTGAGGTAAAAATAATCATGAAAAATAAAAGTCCTACCCCACATGATATCTACCCGAACATGCTTAATATTCCTACTCGGACATGATTTCTATCCCGTATGCTAATTTCAAACAAATCCTAACCGCATATTTGTCTAGTTCGCATGCTTTGAACATAAAATAATGCAGGAAACGAAACAGCCTAGGGTTTGGAATGAGGTTTTGGGGTGGGCTCTAATTCCCTGTACTCTCCCGGTTTAGGTTCTAAAAAGGTACTCGAGTTCTCCTTGCCGGTGCCCCCTTGGGCTTGCCAGACCCTTAGTCCTAAGCCTATTACAAGCTTATATGGACTAAGTTAAACTCGAGAGGAAACATTCCCTTATGCCCATACGGAGAATAAATTCACACGAAGGCATAAGGTATATGAATCCCGAAGGTTACTTGCTAGGCCCATACGGTGAATAAATTCACACGAAGGCGTCGCTTTCGCCCCCACTTAAAAGGGTTCGGAGCTCGGGTATAGAGCCTGAGATAGAAACTTTTCAAAAATCTGAAATCATTGAAAAAATGTTAGTACAACTATTTATTTGAAAAATAATCAAAGGTAAATAATCGGAACCGAATAAATAAATTAAAATTTAAACTTACAATTTTCGCATAAAAAGACAACCAGAAATTAATTCTGGCCTGACTCACTTACCTGTCCCCAGCGGAGTCGCCAAGCTGTCGCAACCGTCTTTCGGTTGGGCCTCGGAATTGGGCTTCGACGTGAAAAATGGATTGGGAGTCGCCACCGACCACTTTAAAATGAATTTAGGTGGGTCGGACACCATCTTACCTGATCTGCGTTGTACCAGAAACGTGTCGAGTTCGGGAGTCGGTTACGGTCAAGGAAGGATTAGCACCCTTGAACCGCCCTTTCGGTACCAATTAATTTGCCGATTGTCTTTGATTGCGAAAATTAAAAATTTAAATTTAAATTTAAAATATTCGATTCGAATTACTTACCTCTGATTGGTTGGAATTACTACTGAAAAAAAGTCAAAAATATTTGATTCAAACATACTCAATTTCAACATCATGCATCAAAATTATTATTCGAATTCTTAATTAAGGCCAAAAGAGAGATAATTATTGAATCATCAAATTATTTCCCTATAGTCCAACTACGAATAAGAATAATTAATGTGAGTGTCTAGGTGTCAAAATTAAAGTCAATTAAAACCAATTAATAAATAATGTGAGTTTAAAACTAATTATCGAAACTGACAAAGCAATTAATCAATTAACAAAACGTTCCAAAAATTCTGATCTAATTATTAATAACTTATTAACAAACATGGAAACTAATCACGTTAGTCCACCCCCATTAAAACAATTAACGTCTGAATTAACCAAATTAATACCATAATTAAAACCTCCATCAAAACATGGAGCTTAATGGCAATCAATGGTCACGTTTTCTTCATGCAAGTAATTCAGGGAATACAAAAAGCACCAAATCATGAATTCAAAGAAAATTAAAATTAATTAAACTAATTATGGAAGTTAAAGCCTGCGTATTATACAAAGAAGAAGTCACGTTTGTTATCAATTAATTAACCAAATCAAATTACGATTATTGGTAAAATTAAACTAATTAAACTTCGGCTAATGTTTTAATTACCAATTAATACCATAAAAATTAAAATCAAGAAAATAAGATCAATCATGCTAGCCAAGAAGAGATGGAAATCACGTTTTAAACAAATGAACCAGGGAATGCAAAGCCATAAATTATGATTTTCTTGCCTTGTTTAATGAAGATAATGCAGATTTTAATTATTCCAATGCATAAAAAAAAGCCAATACAGAATTTGATCATCCTACTCAAGGAAAGAAATTAAGCCACGCTCGTTACAAGCACTTTCACCGAATTTGAAAGCATTCAACCATCAACCATGCAAACTCCAAAATTGTGTTGATACAATGAAAACAATTTCGGTTCTGTTACCTTCTTCCAGTTAAAAAAAATTTGCTGTTGAATGTTGGTTCGCCCGAGATTTGAAGATTTACTTGCCGGCTTGATGCTTTGGCATTCTACTTCCCATGATTCATGGAGCTTTTCCTTTTCTCTTTTCGCAGGTTTTTCTTCTCCAAGAATTTTCCTCCCCTTTACAAGGTGTGAAGATGGGTTTAAATAGGGATATATGAGAGATGATGGTGAGAGTTCAAATTTTATGGGACTCTTGGGGAAGTTGAGTTGTAGTGGGATATTGGATTTCATGGGATAAAGTTGTTGTTAGTTTAAAGGATGTGGTGGTGGAAGAGTCCTCCTAGGAGATGAACTCTAGTTAATTTTTTTTTTATGTCTATTTTTTTGGAGGAAAAAAATAATAAGAAAATGAGTGTCTACACATAGAGTGCTTTTGATATTCATGAAAATGATATATATATATATATTAATTGAAAATATTTATCGTCTTTTCTGATCAGCCTGTGTGGATCAATGTATAGAATCCCACACAGGCTCCCGCGTGAAATTAATGCGTGCAACCTACTACTTCAACTGTTACAGCTAAAAGAAATAATAGCAATTTGCCTTTGTGTTTTGATGATTGAATGCTCTTTTTCTCTATATAAATTCTCACCTGTTACCATTTATATTGCTCACCCAATGCCATTTATTTCCACTGCCTGACTTTCACACTTTTCCATCGTTCTTTCTCTTTTCTGATCAGCCTTACAAGTTTAATATGGAGAAATGGTATGGGATAGTGTTCTGGTTCGTGTCGGTTTCGAGTTTGTTGTTCGAGGTCAAGGCAGAACCTCAGGTTCCTTGTTACTTTATTTTTGGGGATTCATTGGTGGACAATGGGAACAACAATCAACTTAATTCGTTGGCCAGGGCTGATTACTTGCCTTATGGGATTGACTTCAACAATGGACCGACCGGCAGGTTTTGTAATGGGAAAACCACGGTGGATGTCATAGGTGGGTGACCTTTTCTGACTCTCCTTTTCTTCTTCCCGTTTTGACTCGTTCAACTTTGCTTTTTCCTTCACCGTTGTCGCCTTTTGAAAGCAACTGCTTCAATTAAACCATGAGATAGCCATCTATTCAGTACTTGGAGTTGATAGTTTCTAGTGTTTATGTTTTGGAAACTTCTTATTTTAGCATCATCTACCAATTGGTTGAAAGGATCGTTTTTCTAAATGTTTTTACAGATTAATTGATCGATGAATTGAATACTGATAATTATACTAAAATATCTTTTTATATTGGTGTTTTTGAAGTTTTCATATTTACAACATAGAGTGCATTTTGATCGTTTTACTAGTTTTTCTTATACATTACCCTTTTGTTTCCTCATTTTAGAAGTACAATGATTTTTTTTGAATAATCCGAGTGATTATAATGTATTATATGTTCATAATTTTATTAATTAATTGACAATACATACATTTTATAGACGTAATTGCTCGAACCTAAAATCTTTAAAGAGCAATAGTTTCTTTTACCACCGAGATCACTTATGGGTTCAAAAGTATAAGGATTAAAAGTCAATTTGTGAGGGCAACAATTGTCTTACTCTTACAACTCTAATCAAGTTCTACAATTGTATTGATAATTCATATATTTTACGGACGTAATTGCTCGAATCTAAGATCTTTAAAGAGTAATAGTTCTTTTTACCACCGATATCACTTATGGGTTCAAAAGTATAAAGATTAAAAGTCAATTTGTGAGGGCAACAATTGTCTTACTCGTACAAGTCTAATAAAGTTCTACAACTATATTGACAACTCAAAATCAACAATTTTTTATTATGATATTCTAAAATTTCGTGTTGTTTGTATATAAATTTTTTTAAAACGTAAAGTGTTTAAATATGGTATTCTAAACATGCACTCATTGAATGATTGAATACATTATCTATACACGAGCATTCTACAAAACACTTCTTTTGAAAAACGTTTTTTACCTGATTCGTTTTTACAAAAATAATACCATTTTAGTCAATAATATTATTTAAGAGCCATTTTGATAAATTAATATAAAAGGAGTATTATTCTTAGAATATTGCCGATATTGTACCTCATTTTAACACATTTATTTTCTATATAATTTGCAGCTGAACTTTTGGGCTTTGAAGATTACGTCCCTCCATACTCAACTGCAAGTGGTAGACAGATACTGGGAGGAGTTAACTACGCATCCGCGGCTGCCGGAATCCGAGAAGAAACCGGACAGCAACTGGTAACGATCGAAATCGATGGTTGACTTGTTTCATCATTCCATAACGATAATCATTACCCAAACTAAGACTACTTTTATCTGCAACTTTCTCTACAGGGTGCTCGGATCAGTTTCAGTGGCCAAGTTAAAAATTACCAGCAAACAGTTTCACAAGTGGTGAACGTGCTTGGAGATGAAGACACAGCAGCAGATTACTTGAGCAAGTGTATTTACTCCATTGGATTGGGCAGCAACGATTACCTCAACAACTATTTCATGCCACTTTACTACTCGACCAGCAGACAATATAGCCCCGAGGAATATGCCGATACTCTTATTAAAGAGTACACCGAGCAGCTTCAGGTTTGTAATGCCGTAAACGTTTTAAAGTTTAAGGAACAATCTAAAATCCGGATCATAGCTTGACGACGTAGGTGCCATTGGATGAATGGCTTTCAGGCTTTGTACGACTATGGAGCGAGGAAGTTCGTGTTGATCGGATTGGGTCAGATCGGATGCAGTCCGAACGAATTGGCTCAAAACAGTGGAGATGGTCGAACTTGTGTGGAGAGAATCAACGCTGCCAACCGGATTTTCAATAACAAGCTTAGGGGTCTCGTTGATCAATTCAACAACTCCAATTCTGATGCTAAATTCATCTACATTAATGCTTATGGAATTTTCCAAGACATCACAAGCAACCCCGCAGCTTATGGTAAACATACTATGATGCTAGAAATGTTTACGAAATACGCGAATCGAATTATAAATACGTGCACCTACTACATGGACACCTTGAATATGTAGCGTTAAAGATTAATAGTAGCGTAAAAGTGGGAATAATAGTGTACTAAAGACTTGATATATATTTCAGGTTTTAGGGTAACAAATGCGGGGTGTTGTGGAGTGGGGAGGAACAACGGGCAGATTACATGCTTGCCTTTCCAAACTCCATGCGAGAATAGGGATGAGTACATGTTTTGGGATGCTTTTCATCCGAGCGAGGCAGCCAATGTGATCATCGGAAGGCGATCGTATAGTGCTCAGTCTCCCACTGATGCGTACCCCATAGATATCCGCCGTCTTGCGCAGCTCTGAAGGCGAAGGTCGACGAGGTTTCTGATGGCCGGTTTTTATTGATAACTAATTAAATCATCCGTGTATTTCGTTACGTTTTTGTTGTTGTTCTGAACCATGAAAATCATTGTTCTATGGTAAGTGGCAATATGTTGTTTTCTCTTAGTGTTGTGGAGTAATTGATGTAAAGTTTTGGTTTGTATCATCAGTTAATAATGTTAAATGCTAAAATGTCAATGGCTTTTGGATTTGCAGTACCTGATCATAGTGTGTTCTTAGAAATGCTATGAATACAAAGAATCTCACATGGTAAATTTGGAAGATTACATGCTATGAATACAAATTATCAGGAAAAAGCTAAAGACAACGGTATGAAAATTTTATGCACAATTATATATTAAGCTGTGGAAGAATAGCTTCAGTCACTCATAATCTGCCGGTGGAACGAGACGATCCGCTCGGACTTGAATGATCTTTCTTCAGCATTTCCTCCAGATTGTGGAACCACTTTAATGGCCTAATCTGAAACATAATGCACCCCATAGAGAACAAATATCAGCCTAATGCTTAAAGTTTGCACCAGACCTGCACAATGGACTGAAATGCTAACAGATAGAATGACTGATGTTGGGATACAACGAAAGGCGGACACTTTTTTTTAGCACAGACTAGCCTAAAAAACACATCATCCCAAACTACAGATTTAAATTCGGCAACTTCGTACGACATCGAAACTTGATGTACACTCAAATTTCAATCATTAATTCTGAACTTTCATTGTGGGACCATAAGTAACTAATGTCTGAATCATTCTTCTTTGACAATTCAACAAGCAAGCATACAGACCTGAGAGTAAATGAGTGCAAGGGAATGGTACAATGGAGGTTTCAAGAAAGAGAGAGTAATACCTTCCAACTTTTTTATGACTGAAACTGTTGTGAATGGATTCCAGTCTTTTTATTATCTGTCTAAACGTTGGTCGCTTAGCGGGCTTCTCGTTCCAGCAATCCTCGATTAACCTGTAAGGAGGAGCATACCGTTAAATATTAATCATTCGGACAGAGAGAAATAAAATGACTAATATGCTAAAAGCCTAGTACTCACTCTTTGAGTCCATGGGCATAATACTTTGATGGAGCTTTGAAATGTGGACGCTCCCTTGATGCATATGCCTTGGGAACTTCATTGTCTAGCTTTGTACAAAATGGTGGGCAGCCTTCAATCATCTAAATCATATACCACATTTAAACCACTTATCAAGCCTGTTCCGATTATTTGACTTTGTCAAAGAACAATAATAAATAGGGATTGAGTCCGACATTGTCTCAACTTCACCCATTCACTGAAAATATGAGCTGAAGCCCGAAAATTTACCTCCTGTAGGATCAGAGCAAATGAAAACACATCCACTTTGGTATCATAGTCGTAGTTTTTGAAAACCTCTGGAGCGACATATCGGCCTGTGACAACAACAATCAACATGTTTAAGGTTAAAGAGGAGAGAAGTTAAATATACAAAATAAAGCCCAACATATCCAGATAGTTTCTAAAATGATTGGTTACATATAGAGGTGGGTATATGGGCTAAGGCCCGCGAGCTACCCGTTTAACCTGTGACCCGTGCGGGTTTTGGACACCAAAAATTGAAGCTCGTTTAAATTACGGGTTTTTTAGCCCGGACCGTTAAACCCCCGGGTTTAATAGGTATAACCGCGGGTAGCCCGCGAAATTTAAAATTTATAAAATTTAGAGATAATAAACTTAAAAAAATTTATATAAAAAAAAAATAAATTACCTATAAATATGATGTTACTTATAACAATTGTAGTTCTTAAATTTATTAGAGCATTTGTCATAATTCTACCGCTGCTTGATATTTTTTTCATTTACAATGTATCAAATTATTCTTCATTTTAAAAAATTAAAATTAAAATATTTATATAGTATTTTAGTCTTATAAAATTTACATCATTATCACTTTGATATTTAAAGATTTTTTTATTTAATTTTGACCTTTATTTTTTTCATCAAGTATGTTATCCATTTCGTTATTTAATTATAAAAAGTCACGTGATATTTTAATAATATATCACATGACACATAATATTTGAATTAAAAATAAGAAAAAAAGTAAAAGAAAAAATTGAAAACATACTTTGTTGAATTTTTCTATTTGAATTTCTGCTTGCAGACACTTATGTGTCTTCATATTATAGCATTGAATAATTGTGTTTTATAAAAGTATATTGTGGTTATTGTTTTATTTGTTTTTCAATTTGGTGATATAAGTGAATATTGTTTTTTTTTAATTTGAGTTTAAGTAATTATATCGTTATATATATATATTAATGATTAAAAAATAAAAAATTATTTTATAATCATTTATGACTATTTAAAATAAAATTTAAATATTATTTATTTTTTTACTGTGCTACATTCTTTTTCAAGTTACTGGATCATTTTTAAAGGTGTAGTAAGTTAGAACATTATTTTTTATTGCATTTAAAGCATTTAATTTTTTTAAACGGGCCGCGGGTAAGCCCGTTTAACCCGCGAGTTAAATGGATGGGCCACGAGTCTTAGAATTCAAAACCGTTTATGCATGCGGGCTTTTTATACCGCTCCGTTTAAGCCCGCACCGTCAAAACCCGCGGAATAAACGGACAGATAGCCCGTATACCCACCCCTAGTTACATAGTAAGAAGGGGGATAACAAGAACCAAATCGAAAGAGAACTTACAAGATGTCTCCAGACATGTTAGAGGTTTAACTTCTTTAACTGTGAGAAGCTTGCTAACGCCGAAATCTGCGACTTTGAGATGTCCAGAGTCATCCCGCAAAATGTTTCTGTCAATACAATTACAGGCACGTAAATGGCGCTGACTTTCAGAAAAATAAGGAGAACAAAACCATTGTCAACACGAAAACTTACGAAGGCTCGAGATCACGATGTATTATTGGTGGTTTGTTCTCATGCAAATAATTCATTCCCCTGCAAGAAAGTGGAAAATATGTTAAAGACAAGTTCGACCATTGGAAGCTCCTCCCAATAAAACTTAATTACCAACTTCATTCATCTAAAATAAACAAGTGAAGTTTGTGAAGTTTAACGTGTCACCACCAGTTTTCTCTCTACACTAATCTATCATGATTTTGGATTTCAGATTTGCCTATTGTCTATAGATATTCTTGACAAACATAGCGACCTTGTAACAGAGTACCTACTCATTTAAAACTAGCTGTAATTCTCAAATCAAAGTTGAAATCAAACTTCCCATTTATGAAAAGGAAAATAGCAATATGGCGTACTAGAGGAAAAGTTTATCAAGTGCAAACTGCAATAATGCCGTAACAAACCTTGCAATATCTAGTGCAAGCCGCAGAGCCATTATTGGTTGCAATGCTCCTTTTCCTTTCAAATAAGCTCGTAAATCTCCCTGCAAAATAAACAATGAATTAAAGTTTGAAAACCTTACTCTTAAAGAAGCAGATAAGGTTAGAGCTATGTTACAAAATCCAATTATCTAAAATCACCGAACAATAGAAGGGGGAAACTAAGATATGATACAGAAAATTCATATCAAGAATTATCCAGCGCTCAAACACAACAAAAGAACACAAGTTGAAATCAACTCAGCAAGCCATGAAATCAGACATAAGTAAAGGCATGTATAGATCATATGTACTATGATAGCAAATTAGATGCTAGTGTAATACCTTGGGTAGATATTCCGTCACAATCATCATTGGACTACTCTGAGTTACTGCACCAAGAAATTGGACTACATTTGGATGTCGAATTTTCTGAAATAACGCAAGTTCGTCTCTAAATGCCCTCCTGAAAGAATAAAAGAAAAACAGAACACATAAAGAACCCAGCATGGTTCAGTGGTTCTCTTCCCTAAGCCCACAGCACCCAACCCCCCCCCTCCCCAACACAAAGCTTCACTTAGTGAGCAACTTACACTTTATTCTCGTCAGCGATAACTTCATCCCCAAGCTTTTTTACAGCTACTTTTGTTCCACGCCATGAGGCTATACAAAAGGTTCCCTGCAATTTAATCACGGCAGAGAGCTAAGAGAAAAATTGAAGATGTAAAAGCACATGCTTGTCAGATTACGAGTTCAATATTTCATATGCTTGCAACTGCAACGCAAAGGGGCAAAAGCAGCCTAAGTTTTTAGTAGGAACTTTGTACATAACTTGTCTATTCACGCCTCTGTCCCGTATCAAATTTCAAACCTGCATTGCATAGATAACAAAACTTTGCTCCAGGCAACCGGGGGAAAAAAAAGATCTTCCAAGAGTAATCTAGAAACTCCCCATCGAATGCTCAAACTTACCACCACAACTAGAAGGAACAAAAGAACTCACAGTGCAACAATTGAGCCACTATTTCAAAAATACCAAGCATTCCTCACAAATTTGATAGGCATTATGCTAGAGAAACTGCTATAATGTAATAGTTTCCTTCTTATCAATGCCATGTGGGCAATATTAGCTAGTCGCCAAAACTTCCTCAATTACTCAATAAAACTATTCCTAAAGATCCCTATGATTTAAATCGTTAAAATCATGAACAATTACGCATTAAGAAAAAGAGATTACCTTAGTAATGTTGACGCTGTTAGTAAAATCAAGTTCTTTTGGGTCTATTTCGTACTCCGGGACTTCACGAGCGTGATTTACATGCATTGGAGCCATCTATTACCAAATTTCAACAATAAATATCAATAAAAAATAAAAAAAATGCGAAAAAATTTTCAACAATCAATGATGCAAAACTCACCAAAGGCTTAGCTCCATGCTTCTCCAAAAGCTTAATCACTTCATGATTCTTATAATATATAGCATCCTCCAAAGGCTATAACACCAAAATAGACATACATTAGAATAAAAAAATAGGAAAAGAGGCAAAACAGGAGAAGATGGCTCTGGTTTTTTGCTTTCGCTTACAGTGCTTCCCCAGCGATCTTTAGAATTGACGGTGGCGCCATATTGAATGAGCAAAGAAACGACATCGTTCTGTCCTTGACAGGCGGCGACATGGAGAGCCGTCCGATCATCGATGTCGCGGAAATTAACGTTGATCCCGGAGTCTAAGAGCTCGCGGATGCCGTCCAAGTCACCTTCGTTGGATAAGTACATCAGCCTAACTCCTTCATCTATATCGTCTCCTTCCTCTCTTCCATCCGGTTCGCCTCTGTCTCTCACCGGCGCCAGCGACGATTGCTTCCCTAACATAAACTTCATCGCCATCGATTATAACAGAAACAGAACTAGGAAATCAATAAGAGATCGCTACTTTGTTTTCCGAAATGAGTAAGATTGAATTTGATTAAAGTCTTAATTAAACGAGATTTAAACGGAATTAGTATGCAATGAGAGTCGATGAGAGAAGGATTTTAAAGAGGGGGAAAAGATAAAGGATAGGAGTTTGGGACGGCAGTTGAAGAAGCTTCAGTGACAGTTGCGTCGCGGGTTTTTTCTTCTTCCTATCCAAAGGGCGTGCCATTCACACGCTGCTGACGCGTGAGGCAAATTTCCGCGAAACGCCGCAGGAAAATATTCAATTGAAGGAAAAAGTATTGTACAGATCCCGTGCTATAGTGTAGATCATATTTTGGTCCTCATAGGAAAATGTCATTATTCATTCTTTTATTAGAAAATAAAAACTATTAAAAATAGTATTTTATATGGAATCAATTAAATTATTTGATTCTAAATATGAAATTTTTAAGTAATATAAAATAAATAATTAATTAAAATTTAAGAATCGAACAAATACATTTAATATGAACTGAATTTATAGACAATTCACATATTGAATGTAAAATAATAAGTTTTTTAAGTCATAATTGATCGGATGAATATTTTAAATCATAATTTAAACTAATATCACATTATTTAATTATGTCTGTTTTGTTGAATATTAATAGTAATTTTAAATGATTACATAAATGATCATTTTACATGATTTTCAAATGAGGAATTAAATTACAATTTCCATTATAGTACAAGGACCAGTACAGAATTTTTATTATTACGTGACCAACTAAAATCATGCTGTCAACGGGGCACCGAACAAGGATAGGGATGAAACGAGTAAAAGAACAAAGAAAATGACGATTTTCTACTTTTGATATTTTAGGAAAGGGTAAACAACGGGGACCGTCGATGAATCATCGGACGGTTGCTATTTTTGGTTTAGTTGATTGGACTACGTTATTTAACGCGGTTTAACCAATGCGAAACGGTGCCGTGCTCTTAATCCATGTAATTAAAAATTTAAGATTGCACGTGAGCAAATGATTTTCGGATAATGATCAGCATTCTTAATTTGTGGTCGGTAACATGAGACAATAAGTGGTGTCTGCTTGAATTGAATTTTTCGCTTAAGCCGCCCTTCGAATCATTATATGAGAGTAGTTATGGGTAGGGTAACCTTAATATACGGTTAATAAAAAAATTTATCGAAATATTAATATTTTTTTAACATTTTTGATAAAGCATTATCTAAAATATTATTTTTTTACCGAAAATGTTAATTTCGCTACTTAATTTTCGATAGAAAAAATAACATTATCGGTAACGCCTAATATTAACATTTATGGTAGAAAAAAATAATATTTTATGTAGCGCTTTACCGAAAATGTTAAACATTTTAGGTAGCGTCCAATATTAACATTTTCGGTAAAAAAATAATGTTTTATGTAGCGCTTTACCGGAAATGTTAAAAAATATTAATATTTCTGATAACGTCTTTTCTTAACCATATATTAAGACTGTCGTACAGTGGCGGATGCAGTAAGCTCCCATAGAGGCAAAGTGCATCTCATTATTTTGAAAAAATTGTTAAATTTAGCTTAATGTGTTAAGAAAAAAAGAAAAAAATTATAAATTTTGCATACTCATTATTTTTAAGAAAAGAAAATTAAAATTTTGAATCCCGATTTTTAAAATTTTGAATTAAAATTTCGGATGCAGTGGCGGATGCAGTAAGCTCCCATAGAGGCAAAGTGCATCTCATTATTTTTAAAATTTTGAATTAATCCTGTTGTCGTCCTAGTAATACAATATGTAATTGTTGAAAATTTCAACCAAACGCACAATTGAAATCTATTTCAATAATTTTCAAACCTTTAATCATGTCATAGTACAAAGCTCCGATGACACTGAAAGATAAATCAATGATACATGTTTTACACATTACACGATTTTCATAATATATTCTCTTTGTCCAAGGTACTTTTTAAAAGGAGAAAATAACTTCAGTGATTAAAAATATTTTATAATATACGAATTTAACTAATATTTTTTGAATTTGTCAAAATGACCAACAAATTCGCAACGTGAATTTCAATTTCGCAATCCAGTTTCCAATTTCGCAACGCGAATATGTAAATCGCATTGCGATTTTCCAAATTCGCAACGCGAAAGTCAAATTCGCATTGCGAATTTATAAATCGCAACACAGTCAAATTCGTAACGCGAAAGTCAAATGTTTTTACGCGAAACACAATATTAATTTCGCAACACAAATGTAAACAGTATTATTGCAAATCATCTCTAACCTAAAACCCTAAAGCACAACTCAGTCCCATCTTCATCTCTTACTCTCTACGGCGACATCCGTCCCCATCTCCGACGAAATCCATCCCCATTTCCGACGAAATCCGTCTATCTCCATCTCTCAGAGCAACCCTCACAACCATTCACAGTCAGAAATAGAAAATCAACCACCGAGGGTTAGTTTTTTTAATCTCTTATTTTTATTTTGAAATTTTTGTATTATTATTATATTAACCATTTCACTGAGATTGCTAAATTCATTCGGTTGCTGCCAATACTGCTAAACTGTTTAGTCTTTAACCCTGTGAAGTTAGTATTTGTCTTTGTTTTGTCTTTTTGTTGAAGAAACCCTAAATCGCAACACCAAATTCGCAACGCGAAACTAAAATCGCGTTGCGAATTTAAGTTTCATAAACTACTTTTATTCTGCAAATTGAAACTTGAATGAATTGCATTACTTCAACCAAAAAACAAAGACAAATACTAACTCCACAGTGTTGTTAATTTAAGTTTCAAGAATAAACTACTACTCTTTATGTTGTCCTTGAACCTGCACTAAACCTATATGTTGTCCTTTTAAATGTTTATATAAGTGCTTACTTCTGGAATATTATCTGATGCATTTTGTGAACTATGATAGAATAATGACTTGGGTGAATACCGTGCTAGTTTGAAACATATTTGGCTTTGTTTTCACTGTTTAATATCATGTCTGTTTATAGTGTATAATAAGGAGTTTTTGGTAAATCTAACTGTATGTTTATTGTTTTTGTAGAATTTTTTTTCGGCTGCATTGACCTTAAGGAATAAATTAAGCCTAGCCACTAAAATTGCGTCGACGCTTACACCTCTATAAAGAAAATTGTTTGAGGATACTTGCTTCGGGCCATGGCTGAAAGTGCACATACAGGTGGAGATGCTATGTTGACACATTTGTTTCTTCATACCATGACTAACGATCTACTCGAGGGGATATAACGTGGTGATGAGGAGATATGGTTTCATTTTTCTCTGGCAAATACTTGTTTTGGGCAGGAGGAGTTTTACTTAATTACTGGTCTACGCTTCGGGCACGATGATGTAGGTCTGTACACTAGTCATATCGCCCGCCCATCATGGTTATCTCGGGTTTTTCCTGAGCTGGCAAAGTCGAAGCCGAGTTTACATGTCGACGACTTAAAGAGATTATTTGATAAAGATGGTTTTACTCGGATGGATGACCTTGATGTTGTCCGAGTATGCAATTTATTACTTTTGCATACCGACTTTTTAGGCAAAGAGGGCAGACGACCTATCTCCGAGGACCTAATATTATTAGTAAAGGGCCTAAATGCATGGAACCTATTTCCGTGGGGTTCATATCTATGGAAAGCTACCTAGAAGAAGTTGTCGTCTGCATTTGAGGACCGAAAAAGTTTACGGGGCGATGGTTCTAAATAGACTTTGACAGGCTTTACTTGGGCCTTTAAGGTAAGAATTTCTATATAATGTTTCCAAAATTATAATCAATTATTTAACAATTACTAATGTTTGTGTATTATATTGTTTGTAGATTTGGATATTTGAGGCTTTCCCCAGCATGCGGACTATGCGATAAAAAGATCAAATGATATTCCTAGGGCTATTACCTGGAAGAGGATCCGCATGTTGGATTGGGAAGAGTTACTCCCATATACGACGATGAATGATGTAAGTTAACACACAAATAATACCATATATAAACAAGTTATTACTAGTACAAGTTTAACTTTGTTTGAGCTTTTATATTGTTAGGAGGCCAACTATCCATTACAGAGGCTAAGCTTGCCACTGATTGGTGGCAAGCTAGTAAGCGGTTTTTTGATGGGACGGATGATGAGCACCCCCTACTTCGAGAGCCATCACCTGATCGGGCCGATTCTACAGCTCGACACCCAGAGCCATCACCTGATCGAGCCTTTTCTCCACCTCCACCATCACCTATTCCATCATATCATCGAGCCTCTTCTCCACCATCACCTCATGATAGGCGACCGACAAAGAGGCCACGACATTTATCTCCATGTTCTCCACCTCTACGGGATAAGTTAGGGGAATTACGTGATGAGGTTGGTGCTTTGCGTCATGAGGTCGGTACTTTGCGTGAAGATAATGGTGCATGGCGTGATGAGGTTCGATCTTTACGTGGTGAAGTGGATTTTTTACGCGATGACAATGGTGCGCTACGCGGTGAGGTATCTACTTTACATGATGAGGTTGTCGCTCTACACGAGATTGTTTCATTGTTGGAGAATGAGATTCATACTCTACGCAATGAGGTAAATTTGTTTAATACTATACTAAAAATGCAAATAACCGTTTTTCGGCATTATTTATTTATTTATTTACTGATTTATGTATTAATTTATTTTTAGCAGCCCGATAAGGTAGATGCTTTACGTCGGGTTTTTTTTGCACGACGGGGTTCACGCATCAGACGTCGTGCGCGTGCCATTACGTCTCCGTTCACCCCACTAGTGCTAAGACTCCGTAAGAATAAGCCCGATACACCTATCATCATTCAAGAGGAGACTCTTATCATTCAAGAGGCCCCTCTCATCATCGAAGAAGCCCCTCCTACTGTTCAAGAGGCCCCTGTCATCGTTTAAGAGGTCCCGCCCACCGTTCAAGAGCCCGATTCACATGGCGTCATATGTCGACATATTGATAAACCCCCTCCCGTGCCCGATATGATGGACGCGAGTTTGCTTTCATATGTGTTACCGGCCAATACCATTCCTCAGCAGGAGAGAGAAACACTACCGGAAACAATTACGGATAATACCCTTTGGGCTAAGACCGTAGTTGATTTTTATCTACATGAGCGGAGCAAGGGGTGTTATTCTGACATATGCCAAATCGACGATGCTATTCATTTGTTTCTTGATCAGTCTTGGTGGGGTATTTTATTAGGGGTTGAAGATAATGGCTACCTCGAAGGGGTGGTAAGTATTATATTCTTCTTATATTGCATTTTGATTATTTTTTTAAATTATTAATAAATTCACTAATATATTTATTTTTTTTATAAAACAACATATTAATGCATGGGTGTCACGTCTTCTAATAATAAGTAAATTGAAGAAAAGAGGTACTCGATGGACTATTATGCCGACGTCTTTTCACGCAGCTCACTTGAAGGATCAGAGAGATGCTTCATATAAGTTGGCTAATGGAAAAGTTGTTTAATTGAATTTTACATTGAAAGTTGATTTGTTTAATTAATGAGGAAATAAGATTTATTTTTTGATTAATTGATTTGTAAAAGTCGATTTGTTTAATTTGATTTGTAAATAAGAATTATTTTTTTGCTTGTTTAATTGATTTGTAAAAGTTGATTTGTTGTTTCTAAAAAATTCAATCTGCATTATGTTTGAAGGCAAAAAAGACTTGTTGAAGGTACAAATTCGCAACGCGAAAGTCAAATTCGCAACGCGAAATAAGCGTTGCGATAGTCAAATTCGCAACGCTTAT